CGGCACGCACGAAGCAAAACCTTGACAGCTACAATTTTGCTCTCCTGAATCAACGGGCAACAGGGGGCTTGGGGCTCACGGGACGATGAATTCGGCCTCCTGCCTGGCCGGTTTCGTCGCCCGTAAGCCCACGCTGACTCGTCTACTCGTCGGAGAGGTGGATTTCAACAGCTCGAAGACCACCGGGCTGGATGTTCCCGCTGTGGCGGCCTCGGTTTCATCCTGGGGCGCGGACGATCTTCTCATACCGGTAAGGAGTCTGTGTGATCGCAGAACTGGCACCATCGACATTCCATGAGTACCTTGCTGTGGTTCCGCCGACGATGGTCAATTCTCCAACGTATCCGACTCGTTTCCGCCCGGACGGGAGAAGCAAGGAGAAATCATGCCAATAACGATAAGCACACGGTCCCACCCCCCCTCCCTGCTCCAATCTCCGAAGAGCAAACATCAGTCGACTCGTCAATCGACCTCACCCCGAGTCCGCACAACCACGATGCCCTGCCATCATCATGAAGAGATAATTGGAAGATTCCCCCACTCAAACATACCAGAGCGGTCTGCACGTATAGATTCCTATGTGAATGCGCTCCAGAGGGTAACCCTTGCCTTGGTTGGTTGCCCGTCTCGTTCTGATTCTTTGCTACACCCTGAACGGCATCCAGTGGACTTGTCGAATTGCCTCCTTCAGAACTGGCCGCCGGTGGGGCCGACGGCACCCAGGGCGCTCACCCTCAAGTCGTGCGGCGTGTCGTGGCCATGGTACCAAGGCAAGTGTCTACTGTTGCTGTGCGACACCTAGACCTGCGCAGGGCTATAGACAATTCTGATCAACAGTCAGTTTTCGGCAGAGCCCTAGCGGTGTTCGACGATGCTTCCAGCAAGCGTGTGATTCGTGTTTCTTGATACGGTTCCCTTCGGCACCGAATCTTCCCGGCACCTCGTATACCGTTCAACTGCACCATGCCTCCTACTACACCACGCGCCATGCAACATGCACTCCATGTCATATGCGTTCGGAGTCCTGTCGAAGACGCACCTGGCAAGCACCATGCTCGTCAACCTTGTCCTTGACCTTGTCCTTTCTGCCTGCGAATCGTAGCACTCCCATTCACGGAATCCATGCCGAATTCCCAAGTCGGTCGCTTGTTCTTTGAAATTTTATTTTCCCGTACTGCAAAGATCCGGCGTTTTTGCAAGATGGAACCGAGTTGACCAAGGCGTAGTGCACATAGCAGTTTCTAGGGTCGATAAAAGACGACTCGATTCGGATGACAACTTATGAACAAGTCCTATTCTAGGTTGTGACAACTGCTATGAATGGCCAAAGCCTGTTGCCTCACTCAGGAGCATCACTAGCCCGTGCCGTGTCGTGCAGCCCAGGGCACGTACCGTCCCGTACGGTGCAGAGCATCAAAACCAGCGGGGGTCGCACTTTCGGAGTCAAACGACCCCCGCAGAGTATGATGTTGGTCGAGTAGTGTACTCGATATTTTCCAATCAATGAATACAGTACCTATCATGTGCGATCTTTGGGGTGGCTAGAAACGAAAAGACGAACAACCGGTGGGATACGTTGCCCTACTGTACAGTCTTTCAATTTGCATCTTGGCTGCCGGGGCCGACCCAAAATTATGGACACAAAGAAGCCGGACATTTCGCAGCACCTTACGAATCCGGGGCTTGTACATTTTCGTACGTTTCCATGGAAAGTTTCATTGAAACCCATGAACGTCCATGGAACATTTCATGGACGTCCATGGTCTTTCATGAAATATTTGATGAACGTCCATGGATGTTCATGAAATATTTCATGAAAGGCCATGTACATTTCATGAAAGGCCATGGACGTCCATGAAACATTTCATTAACATCCATGAACGTTCATGAAATGTTTCATGAAAGCCCATAACCATCCATGAAATGTTCCATGAACGCCCATGAAATGTTTCATGAACGCCCATGGAATATTTCATGGCATTCCAAATTCTGGAACACCAAATTCGTATACCGGTTGATGGGGGCGTATATAATGCAGAAGCACACAAGGAGGATGCATACATACCAAGACTGAGAGAATTCGTGCAGTAGATTGTTAAGGAGTGTGGCTGCTAGCATGAATAGGGTACATTATTGTTCATAGGATGTGGGATGGTCAGGAGGTATTCCTTCTTGTACCCATACGCCCCCCTTAGAATGTTCTACTCTGTGTGCCCCCTGAGATGAAGTTGGATCCCGACTTCATCTCAGATCCTTGCTGATCGTCTCTCAGCAATAACAAGCAACTCTCCCATCTCTGCGTGGCCGTGGACTAGTCTAGAGTGTCAGCGACGGAACCTTCATCTACCTCTAGGAGCAAGCGACCGTGCGGCTTAATAACTCCATGTAAATGGTTTAGGACAACGATGAGTTTGTTCAAGATCACGTAACATGGCATTCGTCATGGGGGCGTGTTGAAATGCAGCGCATTATTTCGGTAAGATGTGTGTGTGTAGTGGAATACATGCAGCTGCATGATTGCTGTATGCCATGATACGTAGATGCGGACAGTAGAACGTAACACGGTGTCCTGAATGAATTGATGGTTTATCAGATGATTGTAATTATAGCGAAATATGGAACGTTTCATGGACTTCCGCGGAAATTTTCATGGAAGTTCATGGAGCTCCATGGAACTTTTCATGAAACTCCTTGGACTTTCATGAAACATTTCATGGCATTTCATGGAACTCCGTGGACTTCCATGAAATACTTCATGAAATACTTCATGAAGAGTTCCATGGAAGTCCATGGACTTTAAATTTTTTCTTGGAACTCCTCGGACTTCCATGAAAAATTGGAAGTCCAAGGAGTTCCAAGAAAAGTTATTTTATGGAAGCCCAAGGAGTTCCATGAAACAATTTATGGAAGTGAAAGTAGTTTCATGAAAAGATTCATGGAAGTCCATGGAGCTCCGTGGAAACAAGTAAAATGTTTCTTGGGAGTCCAATGAAGCCCATGCGCATATTTCATGGACATCAATGTCCAACACAGCCAAGGCTCATTGTCGGCATTTATCCACCAAGTTGACGTCACTGGAATATTTCTAGAACGCCCATGAAATGTTTCATAGACTTCCACGGACTTCCATGGACATGGTGGGATGGAGTTCCGTGGACTTCCATGAAAATTTTCATTTTTCCATGTACTTCCATGTACTTCCATGAAACATGGACTGTACGAATCCGAGCTTCGGGGAAAGACGCCACTGCTGCCTGTGGGGCACTTGTCGGGTGGTCTGTCACAGCAGATAATTTAAAACCCCGAAGGACTCAACCAGGCCATTTTCCTTGACTTAGAATGCCGTGTACATCGACAGGTACTGTAGGTCTTCCAGCCGTCCATAGGTGTAGAAGAACACGTTGCCTCCCAACGATGTTTTGCTGTGCTGTCTTCGCATAAACTCTTGGTCATCGCTCTGACATTATCCAAAAACTACTCCTGTTGGTCCGAATAGTCTTCCGAGACTGAGAAACAGTTCTTCGTTGTCGCAACATCTACCGCAAATGAGATGCAAAGGAAGCACGAGTCCAACACTCAGATTTGCAATATTCAAGTATATTTATAGCAACACCGCCCAAGAAGAAATCCAAACCAAAACGTGTAGGACATAAATACTCTCCAACGCGAAGTGCCGCATCGCTTCAACTCGGAGACTAGCAATATGTTTGCATGGCATTGGTGATCAAGATACCCCGCACAGTCGGGATAGTTGAAGAGGCCCCAGCATCCGATACGGATCGGGGCTTGCAGTCTACAACCCGACCGGTAGGCAACAACTGCCTTCTTTCTCACCCTTGCTTACGGCCATCACTCAAGACCTAGTTTACACTCCCTTCAGCCGTTGATAGAGCACTGTCATGGCCACTCCATCTGTCGTGGCGATTTTGCCTGGGAATCAATCTAGACAGCGTCCACCTCCCGACATGATAACACCCCCTCGGCCGAAGAGAAATTGAACTCAGGCGATGTGGTTGGTAACATTTGCCACGGGCGCCATCATGCCCATACGCACCGGTTCTTTGTGGACGACACCTTCCGGGCGATAGGGGTAGATCACACTCGCTGTGATCATTACTTTCGTGCTGTTTTCCAGCTGGCGTTTTTCCTCTCCCGCCCGCGAAGAGGGAACACCAGGAGCACATGCGCCCGCTCCCTGCGATCGATCGGCGGACCCTTCCTGATGCCGATGCTGCGTGGTTGCTGCCCGCTGCGTGTCTCGAGTAGGGGAGCCTTCGCTGGGCATCGGCCCTTGAGCTGGTTCAACACCTTCATTTAGCCCGTTCGCCACGAGCGATCGGCAGACTCGGAAGGAAGGCGGAAGCTGTCCCAGATGGTTGTGACGCTGGTGGCATTGGCGTGGTGCCGCGATCTCAGCCGTGGAGGAGCAGACAACCGGTGGCAAGCCTTTCGCGATTTCTCCCTGGAACTTGGACCATAGATCCTTGATCTGATGTACGCAGCAGGGGCGGTGACGGCGTAGGTGAATCTTGAGGGGGTCATCGAACAGGTAAGAAGCCAGGGGTGTGTGCGCTCAGTCATGATTGGCAAGTCAAACCCCCGATGAAAAATATATTTCCCTTCCCACACATAACAAGGAACAAGAACTAGGACGGGTTTGGTGTGCGCGCGCAACTCGCTTCGACGCACCACCGGCAGGATCTTGTTGTGCAGCAGAAGAAAAATCGGAGGGAATGGAAGAAGAGCGTCTACATGCGCGAAGCATGGGCGACACACGAAATGATCACTAGCCTACAGATGGATAATGTGTACGGGCCCCATATCAGTGGAGGCCCGCAGTCACATCGGACAGTACCTGGTAGCGCCGGAAGGGGTCTCCTTGGCTTCCATACGTCTCCTCCCAGGCAAGGGAACGTTCATGCGGCCGGGCGAAAACAAATCCCTTTCGCAGGACGACGAATTCGGCTGACCTTACCGCTGGTGTCGTGTCGGTGCTGGGACTACCAGAGGCCAGGGTTAGGAGGTGGGCAACCTAGGGAGGTGGGAAGGGGAGGAAGAAAGTGTTCAACAAAAGTTGACACCTTGTGGATAAGGAGACCTTTTGAAGAAACGGGTTCGATTGACCAAATCGATACTATTGACCAGCGGGGAAGGTGAGATTTTGCATTACCGATTTACAACTGACGTATGTAATCTGCTGTAGAGTTAACATCCGGAAGTTTGTCTCACTACAACGTATATCCACATGGGGACGCTTCCGGCTTGAAGCCATAGCTCTTGCCTTGTTCATGCCGTAGCCGCGGAAGCGCTCGTCGTACATTGGAAGGTCGGTCTTGCTGACAACCACGTAGGGCTCGAAGCAAGACTCGAAAGGCACCGTATACGCGAGTGCTTCGAATTGGTGCACAACCGGAGGAGGAGGAGGAGGAGGGGAAGACGGGGGATGAAAGTACGACCATTAGAAAATTCGCGCTTTCGTTCGGCGATGCAGGTGTAGAGTTTAGACGAATCACATTCCAGCAAGTGGAAATCGCAAAAACTAGCAAGGGTAACCAGGGCTGTCGCGACTTGCGCAATCGCATGATACAGGGACATTCAAGGACGTGCGCGATGTTCTTCAAGCCTCACACTTCCCGTCAGGGCTGGCGTTGCTCCAACAGTCACACAGAAGTAGAACAAAAACTCACACTCTCTGGTTCGTCTTCGGGGCAGCCTCGACGATTTCTTCGTTGTTGGCTTCTCTACGGTAACCAAAAACCTCCATACGACACAACCGCCATGACAAAGGAGTTGTAGAATACGCACGGTTTTCACATTTGCTCTCTTCAGCGGCGGCGGCGGCAGCCCACCGCAGGAAGTCCGTCGGGCCGTGGCCCTTGAAGAAATAGTCCACGTGAAACCCTTGAGCGGTCCCTTCCGCCAGCATCTCGACCACCTTCTGTACGCTCGATGGGATGCTCTTGTCATGCTGTGGACGAGCGGAACAGGGCATTGCACGAAGCTCAGGATATGCAGGACAGAAGAAAGAGCACTAGCACCTCCATCTGTATTTGCGTCCGTATGCACTGAGCCGGTCGCCCTGGTGGTCTAGTGGTATCCTCGAAAACCGCTAGTCGCAAAGGTCGTGAGTTCGAATCCTCATGGGGTGAAACATTTACAAAATTTGCGCGTGACAGCGAAATATAACTGAGAAGCTGTCGTGAGTACCAAACTTCGACGTTAGCACCGTTGACGAGGGAAAGGGACGGCTGGACCCTTCTCGCGATAATAATAAAACTCAGCACGCACCGCAGGAGGAAGGTGGGGCACGAAAATACATAAAAAGAAGACAAAAGCCCTGGTGTTTACCCCCTCCTGTGTGACCCTGGATGGTTGTAGTTGTACGAAAAGATACACTGAAAAGTGTAGCACTCGACATACGCTAAAGAGTGTAGTACACGTCTCACCACGAAAAAATGGGGGAACTGTCGCCATAATAAATAGGACGAAATCACACACACATGACCAAAAGGGCCCCATGGCTCGACTACCTCTATTTTCTTCAAGGACTCATCCCAAGTTACACCACACAACTTGCACGTAACGATGCGCTCGCATTGAGCTCTGATGGACTCAAGATGTGCCTCCATATCAAGTCATACTCATCACCAAAGGAGCGCATCATTTATTTTCTCTTTTTCTTAGGCCACTTGTTAACCTGTCCTTTTTTGGGCTGTCCCTTTTCTCAAAAAGGGACAACTGACCAAGAACCACTTGTTACACGTGGTCTTTTTTTGCATTTTTGAACCTCCCGAAAAGGGACAGCGAAAAAAGATCGCCCCATCCTGTCCCTTTTTGGGCAACTTTGTGACAGGATGGGACGGTCCTTTTTTGTTGTCCTTTTTCTGTCACAACACATGATGCTTGCCCACAAAGTTGAATATCTCGACGGATGATCCCCGCAAACTCTAACGGTATTCGCACGTGTCGTGTCATGTGACTGGTACGGAGTCAGTAGCCTCGGCGATAGACGTAATGTTGTCATTCGGCTGACCAGGTGGACAACCCGATGTGTGCGGCAAACAAGCGGCAAACGAGCCGAAAGAGCCTGGACGCAGCAGCGGTGGGTCTTTTTGGTGCACAGTCAACTTTTGCGAACCCAACTTCTGGGCGACCTATAGCGTCCTGGTCTGTATCAATCACCACACAAGACGAATCAGACGCACAGCTCATGGCGGATACCTTTGTCATCGCTGTTGCTTCGGTGTGTGACGAGGGAGCATCGATGAACCAAAGTTGCAACACGGGGAAAAAGAACAATATATATATACATATGCTTGGAGACGCGGCGGGTCATTTTTCCCGCCTGGTTACCACTCTCGCGCTCACAATCTCTGACCGCCCGTCAGCCTCCTGGTCTGTATCAACCACCACACAAGACGGACTATACACATAGCTCGTGGCGGATACCTTTGTCATCGCTGTTGTTTCAGTGTGTGGCGAGGGAGCATCCATGAACCAAAGTTGCGGCATGGGCAAAAAAGAGCAAAAGAAGCTGGTTGTTGGCGCGGTGGGGTTTTTCAAGGTGCTGTTGACTCTCGCCACCTCAGTTGCCGTGCCTCCCACTGCCCTGTGGTCTCGATCAGCCGCCACACAAGGCGGACCAAGCACCCAGCTCGCGGGGGATAGCTTTACAGTTGCTGATGCTTCGCTCTGTGCGGAGATATCACCGAAAAACCAACTCGGTGCCAAGGTACTCATTGTGTGACGAACGGCCGTTGCACTTGTTGTTGCAGGGTTGCAGGGTCATTTTTTTTGGCGGATGAGCAAAAAGGATCGACCAGCAGCACCGTAACAAGTGGGTCATCTTTTTGCTAGATTATTTTTTGGTTCGTCCCTTTTTGAGAAAAGGGACAGCCCAAAAAAGGACAGCTTAACAAGTGGCCTTAGTGTTTCCTTTTTATTTTATTTTTTCTCCTTTTCTCTTGTTCTCTCTTTTTTTTCTCTCTTTTTCTGTGCCAGATGGCCTTGTCTCTGCTTGCGTTGTGAAGTACCAAAGTTTGAACCAAGGGGTGTACCTCTTTCTCTCCGGCCCATGATAGTGACTCCTAGTCTCAGTTGATACCTCGCATAGCGCGCAGAGGGAGTGGAGGATTCCAGAATATCTGTCGTTGATTTCTATTGACTTGCGGACCCCTCGGGGTCGGTTTATTTGAGTGTACCTTTTTAGGGTAAGTTAACCTGTGACCACGGGAGTCGACCGCGTCGAGTGTTGGATCAGTACGGACATACGAAGGTACTGCGTAGAGAGAGATGGGAACGGTTTTTAATGTGAAGACAACAACAACAACAACAACATTAATTAAACTCAGCCTGAAGATCGATGTAGTTCCAAGTTCGGAGTGACGTCACTGGATACAATCCCCAAAGAAACCTGGGCTTGTGTTGAGGAATCACACTACTTGCAGGACAACCAAATCAGGACCCGGATTTAGACGAGTGTTGCTGTCCTGTCTGCTGCGAATGGACGAAAGTAACATAACAGCACCATTGCGACAATCGCTTGCGGTTGGTCTCAGCTTCGTCGGATTCCTGCAAGGCTTACCCTGGCAGACACTGAGCCCGGGGTGAACTCCAGACAAGGGATGACGACGGCCGCCGGCCTCGCACTACTCTCGGCGTTGAGTCTGTCCTGGACTTCCTGCGAATGGAGCTCCTCGAGCAGGTGCTCTGACGGCAGGCAGTCGCAGTCTACCAGGAACACCGCTTGAGCGGGATGAAGGCTGTCGTCCCGGGCCTGTCGAGCGTCGCGCATTGACAATGAGCCGCCACGTCCGATAAGTGGTGGTTGGGCGAAGGAATAATATATTTTGGGAAAACATGTGGGTTTGCCTAAGATACTCCGGGCCCAACAATACAACCACCGATCAAGCGTTGCTTGGCGATAGCTGGCTTGAGACAACTTGTACGCTCAGCTTTTGTTCCTTTTGCGTTGCAGTTGGGTGGTGGTAAGCGTTGCTTGGCGATAGCTGGGTTGAGACAACTTGTACGCTCAGCTTTTGTTCCTTTTGCGTTGCAGTTGGGTGGTGGTACCTGTATCAGAGCCAAGTTTCTCAGGGTGTTGACGGGGTACAGCGGACCGCAGTGGTCGTGCCTAGCAGGGTCCGCCTCCGCTCCCTCGAGGATAGCCACGTCCACAGAGAGCTGCTTCCGACGATTGGGTGCTGCTCGAACTTCTTGGTCGACCCGCTGGCACAGTCGTCGAATTTCGCTCATGGTCTGCACAGTCAGAAGAAACGGTGTTGCGCGCCGTGGCGGCGACATGATTCAGGAATGCAACATTTTTACCAGAAGGCCGCATGCGGGCATTGGTATCTTGGGCTGTGCCCTTTCTCGGCCTCGAGTTTTCGTTCACATCATTCCGTCTTCTATTTCACGCGAGTCAAAAGTAGCTTCCCAGCACTTGCACCGTGTGCACTCGACCACAACGGTAGCTTCACACAACAGCCATCGACACTTTCTGCGACGCGGTTATTAGCTGATCGTGTACGGCTTAGGGAAGGGTACGCCGCACCTCATCCTTAGCCGATAGGGGGGCCGAAGGGACATGAACAGCGAGGCTGGTGTCGCCGCCCCACCTCAGAGCCTGCTCCAGCACCGCAGGCAGACGGTCCGTCGAACACTGGGTAACCAGAGTCACTCGGCTCTCCGGGGAAGGAACCGCCTTTTAAAGCCCATCATGTTCGCCACGAGGCATGCGGTGATTGGGGTGAGTTGGCGCAGCGGCGAAGAAACGAAGGGCAGGGGCAAGGGTCGGGGTTGCAGGCCGGCCAGGTCGAGTCTGTGGTCAAACACCGCCACCAAGGTACAAACTGACAAGTCGGGAACTCAATATTTGTCGTTGAGATCATCCCTCTTGCGAAACGCGCAGGAGGTCCCTCGCTCGTTCCCCGGTATGATGTGTTGTGCTCGAATCCCCAGTAACATGTTTCGTCTGTGTGCGACCGTTTGTCAGCCGGCCGATGCCGTAACCCCCAAACCGAAGGCTTACGAATGCTGCAATGGTTGAGATGTGCTTTACACGCCGCCACCGTCAGATTGCGATCTGCGCCTCTAGAGCTTGGAGGAAGCACCGTCGTACGTAGATTTTTGGATGTCATTGCGGCACGACTAATCCCACAAAACGTAAAACTATGTAGTTGTTGAGCTGCAGATGTTTAACCGCAGGTACGCGTGCAACGTGAGGGGCCACAACGACCTCACAAGCTGAAGCGCAAACGTATTGGCACCATTAGAACGCGTCCCAGTACACGTGGAAATATCGAATCGACGTGTGGTTTGAGTTTCGTGAGTCCTGATCTGGTTGGACATCTGCGCCTTGCCAAACCTCGCAGCCATGTGATTTACCGAACGCCACGCATTACGTGTTGTGAGGCACGAGTGAGTTTGCCTGAGGAAACCTTGCCACCAGCTGACGGTTTCAGGTTTCTGAGGCACGCACCGATACACTTCAGCCTACAATCCCACCCACCTGTTTCGCCACATGCCTTTGAAACTCACCAGGCCAGCATGGAATGCGTGTAGCCGCATCTTGTACGGGAAGGCACCGGGCCGATCAAGCTCCTTCGCCCTCGCAAACATTCGCTCTTCCCACCTGGTATCGGTTTGCCGAAGAACGCAAGGGTTGGACGGATGACGGTACAGGGTCAAACCTTGTTGCACAGCCTCGCCAATGGTCTATCCTTCGTGTGCCCACCTGGCTGGTTGCTTGCTGTTCTTCCTTTCAGCAGCGCGAGATGAATTCGTGAATTGTGCAGTTGTCGGCTTGGCTCAACCAATGGCCGCGTGGCTTCCGAACACGTTCGCCGAAGCCTACCACCGTCTATTCAAGCGGGAAGGGTGCCCATGTTGAAATGCGAAAAATGTGGAGATCCTGTGGAAGTGGCCTCTGAAAAGGAGCCAATCTAGTGAATCACGCACAGTAGATTGCGAGAGAATGAATCGACTCTCCACCAGCTGATCGGATGCCGGATTATTCCTGCTGTCTAGCAAACAAGAACGAAGGTCCCAACACACACACACATATGTGTGGTATTCGAAAGTGATCCCCATCGCCCCAAGGTCTGTCGAAGATGGTTATCTTGTCACAACACCGCTTAATAGATCGTCCTTGGACACTCTCGATCTACCTCGGCACGCCCTCCACGTTCGTTCGTCGAGAACGCAACGGGGTAGCTTCTACCACGCGTCCGAGAAATACACAGCCGAGGGGGCTTCAGCAGCAGGCCCGAGTCACATCCTGAATACAATCGCGACACGCTCATAGAGAAGGCTCCTTTGTGCGTCCCTTCATGCACTCGCCTGCTGTCTTCCCGAGCTTTGAGTCGAGATGCGGTCCATTCTCCGACCCCCATCAATTGCGGGCTCTCGCTATCGATGCCTCGTTGTACGGAGAATGGCCTCACCAGACGACGAGGACCGGCCAAAACCTGGAACATTCGTCGAAAGCCAAAGGTTTCAATACCGTAAAAACAGGTATGCCATGACCCACTCGATCATGAATTACTTCGGAACATGGTACACTGAAATTTTTGCAAGGCACCTTTATGGCAATCGCGTTCTGCGTCCTGAAAGGATACGACGTGGATGATCAACCGACTAAGCGACTAGGGCATGCAGCAAAATACGAAGCCACACCCATTCCCGACCCTGCGGCTCCTGCTCCCGCTTGAAAGGTCTGCATCAAGGTTCGAGACGGAACATTTCCGGTAGGACACAATCGAGCCCTCATATTCGTTGTCGGGGAACCAAGGACGCCCTAACCCCCCCCTAAAAACAATGTCAGTCAAGTGCGTTGATGCCAGTAACACACGCACACGTTCCGTTGAGACTGAATCAGTGATGGCATCTGTTGGGTAGCCGTGGTGGATGCCAAGCAAGGAAGCAAACGCGTTTGAGTGCAGATACGCACGCACCTTGGCAAAGTGTCCACCCCCGGTCGGCCCTTCGTCGTCAAGATCCCTCGGCCCTGCGCCCGCGTACATGTCCACGTCGTCCGCTACACCATCAACGGCATCCGTGATCGCATCCACGGCGCCCCCGGCAAGGTCTCCGGCTGCTTCCAGGCCATCGCCCATGCCCTCCCCGATGTCTTCGGCTAGGTCGCCCGCCGCGTCAAGCCCGTCTGCAGCGAGATCTCCGGCTGCGTCCAGGCCCTCTCCGATGCCCTCCCCTATGTCTTCGGCGAGGTCGCCCGCCACGTCTAGGCCTTCTCCGGCGAGATCTCCCGCTGCATCAAGACCATCTCCGATGCCCTCTCCGATGTCTTCGGCGAGGCCTCTCGCTGCGTCTAGGCCGTCCCCCAGGGCGTCCCCCGCCCAGTCCCCTACATCACCTAGGCCACTGCCCAATGCACCCCCGACGTCGGAGAAGAGGTCTCCTAATCCGCCGAAGGCGTCTCCAGCGGATTCGCCGATGCTTCCGAAAACACTCCCTGCCCGACAAGAAAGAGAGGACGAAAAACAGTTTGGTGTCGTGTGGTGATAACAAACGAGGATTTGGAGGTTGGAGAAGTGAAACGGGCGACATTTAAGAAACGTACGGTGCGTGTCGAGGAGGAGATTCACGCACACAATCCCCTCTTTCTTGTTACCCCTCTGTGGTTATTTTTCTGAAGGTCTGATCTACCATCCTGGGGGAGATTGGCAGCGTACCTTTCGAAAACGTGGGTGACCTGCCACACATACTGATGCCAAATATCTAACGAACCGCAACAGAGATCGGCGCAAACAGTCACATACCAAATGCCAATATTTACTGCAGTTTTTTTTGGGTCACGAGACATGAATAATAACGACGTTTTCACCTAGATCAGTTCCCCACGACGCAGCCGTGTCCGCCACTTTTGAGCCGAAGTCGCCTGCCTGCGTTCGTAGACGTGTTGTTTTAGATTGGGGTTAGCAAAAGGAGGCTGAAGACATTTCTGGGGAACGAAACCGCAGCATGACCCGGAGAATAGTGCAGCCGACATGCAGGACATGTTTGCGGCAGTGTAAGAAAAAACAGCATCGATGCATCGGAGGAGCATTCCGAAAGACCAAAAACCGTGTGAGCGGAAGTCGCAAGGGTTGGACGAAAGGTTCTGGGTTAGCCAGACAGAGCACTCGCGCGGCAGAAGAGAAGCAAAAAAAATAAGCGGGAAACAAATTTGTGCAGCCGAGTGCTCTTGCGAACCTCGCCGAGGATGGGTCCCATCCGCTCGTACACGTCAGAGCCCGCCTCCCTGAAGAGGTCGTCGATGCGACCCAGGTTCGAGGGGTCGAACACGCTCGGCCCCTCGTTCGTGATGAGATCCCGGACTCGATCCAGGGGGTTGGATGACTCTCCTGCCGGTAGCATGTGATAGGAGCAAGGTGCCATACACGGTTGGGTGCACATAGGTCGGGTATCGTTGGCGAAACACAACGAGAGAAATTCAATTCGAGGGTAACGTATCCCACCGGTTGTTCGTCTTTTCGTTTCTAGCCACCCCAAAGATCGCACATGATAGGTACTGTATGAACTGATTGGACAATATCGAGTACACTCTTCGACCAACATCATACTCTGCGGGGGTCGTTTGACTCCGAAAGTGCGACCCCCGCTGGTTTTGATGCTCTGCACCGTACGGGACGGTACGTGCCCTGGCTGCACGACACGGCACGGGCTAGTGATGCGCCTGAGAGAGGGCAACAGGCTTTGGGCATTGAAGTTGTCAGAACCTATAGATAAGGGTTTGTTCATAAGTTGTCACCCGAATCGAGTCGTCTTTTATCGACCCTAGAAACTGCTGTGTGCACTACGCCTTGGTCAACTCGGTTCCATCTTGCAAAAACGCCGGATCTTTGCAGTACGGGAAAATAAAATTTCAAAGAAGAAGCGACCGACTTGGGAATTCGCCATGGATTCCGCAAGTGTTCAGAGGCCTACGCAGTCTTACCGTCGTCACCGCCCGGGCTAGCAACGTAGTCGTCCTTCAGGTCCACCAGCTCCTCTTCAGGGGAGATAGAAGCTGTACGCGCCAAAGAAAGCACGCGGTGCGTGGACGAAACGAGTCAGCACCGATGCTAACACAGTACGCGGTACTCTGCCCCCATCGGTCGAGTTGAGTCTGAAGGTCTTGGTAGGGGTACTGATGCTGTGGTTGTGCCGGTATTTGTAGTTTTTTCCATGCGCCCTAACTCAGAGCGAAAACCCACAGGGTGTTCAACTGAAGTCGTGTTACCACGACGCAAGCGATACAGAGCCCATAAACATGGACGACGGCTACTGCTACACGAATTTCCCGGCCTACTTCCCGTCGCTACGTCTCCGTTCCCTCAGATGCACCTCGCACCTGATCCCTCCCCGTTAGCGGGCAGGTCGCGGTGATCCGCCGTGTTTCCACCTCCACCTTCTCCTCCTCCTCCTCCTACGAGGTTGTCCCTGCAGCCATCATCGTGCTGTTTAAGCATGTTGAACGTGAAGTCCACGGCACGAGGAACAAAAAAAGGTAGGTTGTGTTTCTGTCCAAGTGCGTTTCAGAAATACACTGGTTCCAAAGACCTTGTTCCACCCACGCTTACGGGGTACCTCTATTCTACTCCTACAAATACGCATCAGTCCTCACCGTTGTACAGTAGGACGGTAGACTATATGTTCCGGAATGAGCGTGGACCGATTTCCGAGTTCTTGAAGAGGTTGTTGTGCCTTTTCTTTGTGCTTGAGCAAACAAGATCGGGCTTTTAACCTTGGTTGACGGACGGGAAAGCAATGCGCGGACCATCCACGGCGACTCAAGTACTCCTTGATGCACAGTCTGAAACAGAGGTTTTGTCGCCTTTCGTGTTTGCTCACATGGTACGGCGAGTGATGCCCCGATGGCAGCGCGACGAAGTACATCCCTCCACCGTAGCCGTGGTGGTGGTGGTGGTGGTGGTGGTGGCTGTTTCTCTGCCTCCATTCTTGCTGCTTCTGCGCGTTGCTGGAGTAGAAATATGTCCTTGGCTTCGCCTGTGATTCATCATCGATACCGAGGGTGTCAACGTTGTCGCGGCGAACGTTTCTTTCCAACGGGGGAAAGAAGGGACGTACACGTACGTGTCATGCGTGTCTTCAGCGTCAGCTTGGATTTAGGCAGGCTTTCCATCTCTCGCAATCTCTGCTATAGTCGTGAGCAATACTTGTACATTCCCCTAAGCATTGTTGCAATTCTTCAATATATACCTACCACAACGTTGTGTCGGCCGGCTAGTTTCCGTTCATATTGGTGTGGCAGGAGAGAGGTGGCCAAGTAAGGCCTTGTGGCTTGTTGAGATCTCCCCACACCGTTTCCTGACATGCTAATCATCAACAGCCGAGATCGCCATCCATTGCAAACACCCTCCACGAGGGGCGGGGCAGGCATGGCAACAGCTGCTACATTCACCTTGAAAGGGGACGTCTTGGTAGAAGCCGCCTGAAGCCTAGCCTTGTCCGTCTCCTTCGACAACTTGGTCAAAATCTTGCCCATCTTGGTGGCGTAGCGTTCCTCGAACGCACCCTGCTGTCGTTCCTTTTTCGCCGCCTTTCAAACACATGCCGTTCGTAGAAGTACATTTTGTGGCTAGGTTTTCCACCCGTTGGTATTGATTCAACGCCCAGTGCAAGTATCGCCGTCAGCAGTAGACAAAACTTTACAACCAAGTGGTGGTTTGTTCTCGTGGTACACAGCCGCACCTACTCATGTTGATCGTAGTACAGCAGATGCGGTCGTGTTCTACATAAAAAACGTACATGTAAATTGATGTAAACAATATTTTTCTAAGAGATAGCGGCCTTGGTGCTATCATATAGAACTGTATCTCTTCGTTGCTTCACCGCCACGCGGTTGGATTCACCTGACCGTTGCCTGTGAGTATATTTGGAACGCTGTGCGTAGCAACAAGGGATGACATGCGGTCGATATTGGCGTCGCTGCCAGTCCAAAGCGTCGCCTCTCAAGAACAAACAAGTCTGTCTTGACCGACATCAATTCTGTTTTGCGACTTGGGTAGCCAGACGTGATGGCTCACCCATTTCCCGGCGTCCTTGGCATCTTTGAGCTGACGGTTGCTTTCGATGCAGTCGGCTATGATTCCTGCGACCTCGATTGTCTTGTTCTTCTCGCGCTCGAGTGCTTTCCACGCCTTGTTGTTGGCGCTAATGAGCGCGATTTGCTGCGGTCACAGGTAGCGCATATGGAACAAGACAAAATGAATTTGGGCATTGCCTTCGCGGGTGCTGCTGCTGAATTGATGCGGCGTACACAATTTCGTTCCCTGCAATATCGCCGCACTGTACATTCCGCCACTCACTCGGTGGAACTCCGGCTTGTTGTACTTGTACGCAGCCTTGATCCTGGCCTTGATTTCCCACATGCGCCTCTGGCCCTCGAGAACTTCATTTTGAAGGTATGACGTGCGCATCTGCGAAGGAGGAACGGTTTGTTTTTGGTCCGGAATTCCGTGAGGGTTCGTCGTTGGCTACCTAAGCCCCAGAATAGGCGATTATGTTGCTGAACTTGTTCGGTTCGTGCGTATGCCAGAACAATTAATAGTGTCTCAGCGGGCGTTCAAGACAAGAGCGAGCTTCGGCATTCGTACACAATCTCAATGAATACCCCCAAGTTGATGGCGACGACTCGACCCGTCATTGTGAGACTAAACATACCACATCAGCAGTTCCCAAGAACAACGACATAGTTTCCTGAGGAAGGGCAAGACATGTGCAGTACTATACTGGAAGCATTTCTTCACCAGTAGAATGATCCTGGTTGGGTCCTGTGAGATCGGGCTTCAAGTCCCAACCCTTTATTGTCGCGTGCGCGACGTCCAAGGACTAGTGAAGCAAACGAGGCGTCCGCTTACCGCGAGGTCAGCGGCCGGTGCCGAAACCTTGACCAGCTTCTTGTTCCCGTACAGGCACCCTCTGATGGCCTTGAAGCCCTCCAGCGTCACCCAGTTGTGATCGTAGCTCAGAGTGGTGATGGAGCGATTCTGGCGGAGGGCGTTTCCCAGGGGCACGCAACCGACATCTCCGAATTGGTGTCCCGTCACGTCGAGTTCGAGGAGCGTTTTGCTCAATCCCAGCGCCTGGTTGTATTCCGCAAGGACAGCAGCAGAGACAGCAAATCTTCCACAGGTAAGTGGCGTACAGGAATAGAGCGGAAGATGCTCTGCATCGAGGTTTGCGAATTGCGGATCAAGATGACGCTATGTTTGGGACAGAACAACACCGACAGGTCACGCCAAAGCCCCGATATGTACAGTGCCTTTGTAGATGATGGGATGAAACAAAAACGAAGCGTGGGAGGGGGTTCAAAAGTTAACTACTAGCGCCTCGCTTCAGCGCCGTCGGAGAACACTCTGTCAAGCTGGGCAAGCATAGCTCTCTCCTTTTCCGGGCAACATATATTCTCAAGCAACACAACAGTAGAGGCAAACAAAAAATAGATTAGTGCGCTTGTATTGTCAACATATATGTCTGCTTCACCCGGAAAAAGGCAGCCATCATGTCGCCTGGAAGGCAGTTTACGCCGTTGCTGCGAAAGTCCCCCGGCATCACGAGTGCTTCCAGCGGGGACGTAGCGACGAGATGTCCCAGCGCGACCGCGAGTGACTGCTTCATCGCAGGCTCCAACATGAAGAAGCTGAACGTATTTGAAGGAGGCCAGAATAAACGGGGGGGCATGCGCACTGTTTTTGTTGTTGGCGGTAGCAAAGGGAGCAGGTGATCGCCAGCGCAAACTCCATATGTTGAGCTGGGTTGATCACGTGGTTTGGGTCAAAACGAGAACGAGACGTGCCAAGGCGGAGTGACATGCCCCGTGAGCAGATTTTTCCCAAGATGGCAGCACCCCCATCTTGATGTAAAGCTCGAGGCGGGTCGTTAGTATGGCGCCACCAGCACAGCTTTGGAGCATGTTGGTCTGTGTCACTTGCCTGAAGCTTATATCCAAGCGGCGGAGGGTTGAGTGTGGCGTGGTGCAGAAGAGAAGCAATCCTGCAGGTATTTGACGGCAATAACGAAAGCAGCGAAGGGCGGATACCGTGAATGGGAGTGCTACGATTCGCAGGCAGCGAGGACAAGGTTGACGAGCATGGTGCGTGCCAGGTGCGTCTTCGACAGGACTCCGAACGCGTATGACATGGAGTGCATGTTGCATGGTGCTTGGTGTAGTAGGAGGCATGGTGCAGTTGAACGGTGTACGATGCGCCGGGAAGATTCGGTGCCGAAGGGAACCGTATCAAGAAACACGAATCACACGCTTGCTGGAAGCGTCGTCGAACACCGCTAGGGCTCTGGCGAAAACTGACTGTTGATCAGAATTGTCGTTAGCCCTGCGAAGTCTAGGTGTCGCACAGCAACTGTGAACACTTGCCTTGGTACCATGGCCACGACACGCCGCACGACTTGAGGGTGAGCGCCCCGGGTGCCGTCGGCCCCACCGGCGGCCAGTTCTGAAGGAGGCAATTCGACAAGTCCACTGGATGCCGATCAGGGTGTAGCAAAGAATCAGAACGAGACGGGCAACCAACCAAGGCAAGGGTTACCCTCTGGAGCGCATATCACACAGAAATCTATACGTGCAGACCGCTTTGGTATGTTTGAGTGGGGGAATCTTCCAATTATCTCTTCATGATGATGGCAGGGCATCGTGGTTGTGCGGACTCGGGGTGAGGTCGATTGACGAGTCGACTGATGTTTGCTCTTCGGAGATTGGAGCAGGGAGGGGGGGCGGGACCGTGTGCTTATCGTTATTGGCATGATTTCTCCTTGCTTCTCCCATCCGGGCGGAAACGAGTCGGATACGTTGGAGAATTGACCATCGTCGGCGGAACCACAGCAAGGTACTCATGGAATGTCGATGGTGCCAGTTCTGCGATCACACAGACTCCTTACCGGTATGAGAAGATCGGTCAGCGGCGACGTCCGCGCCCCAGGATGAAACCGAGGCCGCCACAGCGGGAACATCCAGCTCGGTGGTCTTCGAGCTGTTGAAATCCACCTCTCCGACGAGTAGACGAGTCAGGGTGGGCTTGCGGGCGACGAGACCGGCCAGGCAGGAGGCCGAATTCATCGTCCCGTGAGCCCCAAGCCCCCTGTTGCCCGTTGATTTAGGAGAGCAAAATTGTAGCTGTCAAGGTTTTGCTTCGTGCGTGCCAGCTCTGTTTTCTCGCTTCTACGTTTTGTATCATAGGGCGCTAGAGCCGGTCCAATTGCTGCTACTCAACTCTTCTGGAGAAAGTCCCTTTCAAAACAAAACAAGATGCATGTGAAAACTGAACAGTCGACGAACGACTCAGGCCAGTCCATGCTACACTCTGACCCGCGTGATTCTCGAGTTAGAACTCATCTCCAAAGTTCATGGTCGTGATCCCTTCATGCCCAGCATTTGCCAGCACTTTGGCTGTTCCAAACTGCGCCCAGCGCCCCAAACAACAACCCCGAAGCGCACAGGTGTTTTTGATGAGATCTGTGGACACAGGTTCACCCTAATCTAGGTCGGAACATAAACTGAACTGCTTTGGGAACTAAATACATCGTCGGAGGATGAATTCCAAGCCTTTTCATTCAAGTTTCGGCTGTGTCAAAATATCCAATTGCTCGGGCCTGAGTATTTCTCCGGCAAACATTTTCGAGTACATACTGCGCATCTCCCCTTTTACACGCACCACTGCCCTCTCATGTCGAGCTCCTCAAGCGGGCACAGGCTGTTCACGAGGGCACCAAACACTCCCTCAGCCTCCTGCAGCCCGAAAGCAACGCCTTGCCCTGGAAGTGGGTTTGACAGGCCCAGTCTGCGTAGGAACGGACACCTGGAGTGGGAAGCACGAGTACCAATAGTGCATATGGTATGAATCGACGCTTAGCCATTCGGAGCTTGACTAGCTTGTTTCACCAAGAAACCGATCGCTCGTAACCCACAAAGGTGTCACCCTTGCAACTTGGCAAGGTAGAGCGTAGCTTGCGAACATCTTTCCAAACTGACACTCAAGCCGAAACACTGACCCAGATGACAACATGTACGTCCTAGATTGCCACAGTACCTTAAGAGTAGCATTCCCAGGGAAGGGACTGCCCCACGCAGGTCACAGCCGCCGAGCTCGAGGCATGTCACGAAGGACGTGTTGGGTGCAGGGAGAGGCCCGGGAGGGACAGAGAGCCCATCGGGGGGGGAGAATGCGAAACCAGTACCTGTCGATGAAGTAGGAGGGAAGTGATGCGAGCAGCAAGCGTACAGTAACGGGGCCGCGGAAGCAAGTTCGTGGTCGTACATACAAGCCTACAACTCAGAGCATATTCTGCGTCCACTCATGGCAACAACTTTGCTCGGGTACAACGAAGGTTTTGGGTGGGGCGGAAACTCTGAATGCGTTTCGACAGTTGGTCACGCATCTTCTTGAGAGACAAGGCATGCGCTGCCGCGCGCCTAATTTTGGGACTCACTGACAACATATGCGGTTGTTGTAACGTTACCGCTCCAGAGAGCACTCGACCTAGCCCGCGTGTAAGCTGATCGCAGCCCTACGCGTAGTTGTCAAACGGGTTCATCTTCTGAATAACGCTTTGGTACTGCACTCACCATTCAGCATATTGAAGAACGGGGCAAGTCCCGCCTGACCAAGGTGGTTCCCGGAAAGACGGAGCTCCCTGACAGGGGCAATGTACGAGAAAATGCGCCACCACGCTGGCAGCAGAGACGTCAAACCAGCGTCTCCGATGCCGCAGTCAGTCAAGTCCCATGTAGCGATCTGCGCGGGGACGGGGCGGATGAGGCTGTGATCAGTGAAGGCCACATGGCTCGGAGCAGCGTGTATCATCACCTTGCTGAAGTCCCACGTGGTGGCCTAGACGGGAGAGGAGCGGTTTACACCACCGAACACTACGATTGAGGTATCATATCGTCTGTGCAGGTCGCCTGTTGCCGTCTATCCGCACAAACGAGGCAGCCAATTAAGTTCGATTCGTGAGTGGGCGAGTGAGCGTCGTAGGGGCTTCAGGTGTCGGGGTCGGTGTGTCAGGTGATCATACTCGCCATCGGGCGTGGGTTGACGAGAAGAGCAGAGCCCATCGCAGCCCAGTTCAGAAGACTTGATCCACCTGGACAGCCGAAAAACAGGCAAAATGAGTGGGCCAGGTGGACGCCAACGTGTTGACCGGTTCAGTGCAAGTCAAAACCTTCCACACGGCAAATACATGTGCGTAAGTACCCCAGATGGCTGCTGCAGGCCAGATTGAAAAGACGCAATAGGGATCACGCTGATCTCTAGAATTCGTTGTGATAAGGGACCGTGCGATCGGCCTTCTGAAAACGCCTATACCCGCTCGGTGTGTGAGTTGTGGCGCTTGCTCGATGCACACGAAGCGGTGTTGGGGGCCTCACCTGGTCCACATGGCAGATTAGGTGCAAGGAACGACTGTAGGGTCACGTTCCATCGCAGCAGCCCCTGCTCAAGATGGCAGACAAGTGCCACGTAGACAACCAGAGTAGGTAATACGAGTCTCGCGTGAGTACTTGCTTCTGTGAAGGCGGGTGCTTTGTCGAATGCGAGGTTTGTAGGATTGAAAGGAAAAGTATCACAACATCTGTCAAAATCCATAACGTGGATATCTCGGAATACCACAGGATGCCGCATTCTCCCACAGGATGCCGCATTCTCCCTTTCACGCTTGCCCACCAGACACCAGTGCTTCCTCTCTGGATGCTACCCGATTCCACCACTGGATCTATTCACACTATGCCCAACAACGCAACCGTCAGCAACGCCAATTGGTCCTCGAATGCACAAGGCCTTAATTTGTGGTTCGGCACCGCTTTCGGTACTCTCTCGGTAAGCTTTCTAGTGAATAGTCTCTGACCGGCATAGCCCACCGTGTTGCACCGTAACACCTTCAACCACGGCCTTAACCCACGACTTGAATCCACGCCCCCGGGGATGGTTTTAACCCAATACCGTTGTTTGAAATCGAAACTTCCCTCTATGTCATAGCATCAGTGATACCGTTTCTGAGATGTTTCGCCGACCATTCTTTACCTGAACTGCCGTTGCGAGGGGGCCTGATGCCACATCGGACGGGCCGAAGGGATCCTCGCTCCAGCACCTCGCAGCGGAGGTGTTGGTAGTGGAGAGGTCGAGGTGAGTAAAAAATGTGTTGTACTGCAGAGCGCGCACGAGCGCCAGTACGCAGGCGTGGTCGGGTTGTCCCGAGCCTTTTTCGGTAGCCGCGACGTGACCGACATCAATAGCTCCGTACTGTTGCGACGAGAGGATGCAGCGGCAAGGGTTAACGGCCAGCAGTATCGTTGTCGGAAGGGCGAACGTATTTGTGATGTGGTCGATCGCAGACAAGGTCACGAACCTCGCTTGTGTCTCTCCCAAGCCAGCAGAGCACTTTGTGCCGTATTGTCGCCCATGTGAAAACCTCTTTCGTGCCGTAAGCGCCACATTTTCTCCCTCTTCCTGCTCTGGGCGCACGCCCCACTCACCCGTGGTTGCCCGCGTGTAAATTGGAGGTCTTTGATGCGATCTGCCGTTGATCGACCGGCAGCCGCAGCTTCATCGGTGATAGCTCGGGGGTCCAGAGACCAGGAAGCCAAGAACACCGATCGTAGCCCGCCGGACTGCGAACCAGACGGGCGGACCACAACATATAGAATACGGTTTCAGCGCAGTGTGGGAAAGCTAAGCAAAGCTACGCCGTGCACTGGTCACAATGTTGTGAAACGTTATTGTTTATGGCTTCGTCGCGCGTCTTACGCGTTCTACGTCGTGGAGAAAGCGTGCGAGCGAGGTGCGTGGTGATAGCAGCAACAACAACAGCCGCTGTCGAACACGCGCCGCATTGTGTGTTCTCCGTACCTGGTGCACAGCTTGGTCCATTGGTGGTAGAGGGGTGTGCAAGGACTTGGGCAGACTCATCATGCATGGAACCGCCATCGAAGGCCAACCGTAGTACGCATGGGCTAGCATGACCCGAATCGCCATGACGATCGGAGCCATGTCCGGCCGCTTGTGGTCCGTTGCGCCGCCAAGGAAGTGTGTCATCAAGGAGGAGGTGCAGGTTAAAGGGGACGTGAGGATATTGATATGGAATGGGGTACTACTACTTGTCACTCGAAACCGAGGATGAGGCAGTTATGAAGGGAATACGTCATCAACGCTCTTCCAAAATGGACAGAATAATTCGCCCGGCTTTTGCCAGGCATCCCATGGGGGCACCACTAGTGCCATACTTTGCTCCAACCACGCCTGTCAATTGTGCAAGGGGTGGGGAGCTGAGCTTTGCTGGACGTTTGTAAGAAGACCGACCCCCCATATGATTGCTTGCAATGTCGTGGCACTCGTGTCTGGCTGTCGTCACCTGCAGAAGCATGTTTGTTGCCAGCTGCGGGAGCAAGGTGTTCTTGTCCGAGGGCAGCGAAGCCATTCCGATTTCAAGCGTCTGCAGCTGCGGGCACCTGATATTGCAGGTCGGCAAGATAGGCTTGTTGTTGAGCATGATTCGAATCACACACGACCAAACAGATTAGATTCCTCGCCACGCATAACACTCGAGAACAACCAATGAGCCGGAAATGCGCGTGTAGACAAGGTGTTATTTTCCGACGTTGCCACGAGCTCCTCAGAGGCCCCTAGGCTAGTGTCACCGCGTCGTAACCAAAGGCCTTTTGACGGTGTCTGGTGCGCTGTAAGCGCTCCGCCTGTAGAAACGAAATGCGCGTGAACGACCGCAAACTCAGTACGAATTCCAACACCACACTTACTTGATGTGCTTGAGGAGGTAGACGTGTCCAACCTTCGGCTTAAACGAACTTCCAGGACAACACCTTGTCGCAACGCCCGCAGAACAAATCGTCCGAGAGGGAACACAGGCGGGGACGGGACTCGAAAAATAAATAGACGAACGGTTGGGGCATGGCTTTCGTGGTAGTTCAGAGCTGCCGAGGGCCGAACATATCTTGTCGGTCACCAAGTGCACTCGTGGGAAACCCGAAGGAGTGAAATGTATTATTAGTACTTCCACGGATATATGGGCATAATATGAACCGAACCAATCAGTAGCCCACATCGCGAAAGCGCTTCTCCGACAGCAAGAAATGCACAAGAGCAGGAGAAAAAGGCAAAGCTCGAAGCAAACTTAGCCGCACGAGCACATACTCCATCTCACCCTGTTTCACCAACACCAGCGGCAATGAGGTTTGTCCTCGAAACGATGAACAGGCATAGTTCCCGATCGAACTCTGGGGGTGTGATGAATACGCTCCGGCAGGATTGTAACAAGTCCCAAGTCATGTCATCCTTGCAGCTTCACGGCGTGGAAGACGGGAAAAAATAGCCGTTACGTTCCGGTGAACACTGAGTCGTGTCCCGTCGTGATGTGCTGCGTATATCCGGTTCCCTATGATTCAAGCTTATCTTTCCACAGAATAATATATGCAGACAATATGAGCCACTACATTCGTGGAGTATTTTCAACGCCAGGGAAACTTCCCAGTTTGTCAATTAGGCGAAAAGCCGCAAGTGAAACTAGCCCCACTTCGGGAGAAGATTCTGTTGAGTTCAATGGTTACGGTCCTATGTCTAGTTCCGGGTATCTATTGGCACGGAGTTAGCTTAGCTGAACCGCGCTCGACGTCATACCTCGATGCGTGTAGGATTCGCGCGGTTTGGACGGCCTTGACCGCGTTGGCGCTCTCTCGAATGCACTCAGAATCTGGCACATCGCAGTCCTTCAGGTCTTGCTGTGCGGGTATTACGAAAAGACGGATGAACGCAATATCAGCAATGACACCCGGAGTTAACCGAAGTAGATGCTATGGGATGGCACTCCAGCTTGACGAGAAACTTCACCAACGGGGGGTGCACAACAAGAACGTCCCGTGTCCAGGACAACAACACTCGATAGACAAAGTCGGACAAAATTGCAATTCGAGTATGACCTGTATGTTCTTTTTCCTTCTCTAGGTTAGCCCATTTGGCGAACAAATTTCAAATCCCGGCGAGGTCTGCCCTTGTACACGCAAGTGTGTGTCCATCCCATTTGTTCTGTTAGGTAGTGTACACATCTCTCGGTGTACAGGCTGGGCGGATCAGCCGCCCACAGGAGGAAGGTCACAAAACAGATTCTTTTTTTACGATGTGCATAGTATCTGGCGGGGGAAACTTAGTGGGTAAATTCACGCTTCTAGCATATGCATCCGCTCTCTCCGGTGTTCTAGTGGCTGACACGGCAAACCTACCAAATAGCAGGTTGTGGTTTCTGATTCTCCCTCTGGAGGGTTTGCTTGCTTTGCCCAAAATTTGTCTGATTTCGTGGGTACACACCTCGACTGGGTTTCCAACCCCCCCAAAAAAACAAAACAGATACGGAGTAAAACGCAATGCGTTTGTTCTTCATACCAACACTCTCTTCGCCGTATACTACTTTCCCGGCCTGTAAGAAGTACTGGTACCCTACTGGTACCCATCAACTGCTGCGAGGGTTGTGTAGGTTCAGTCCTCCCTTCATTCCGAGATACCATCGACGTATGCGAAGGTGTACCGATTCTGGTAAAAGTCAATCGACGGATACCCTGCGAATCGGGTCCTCCTTAACACTCTCCACCCACAGATTTTTTTTTTTTTTTTGAGATGAGAAAGTTGCTTGTTTTTGCTGAGAGACGATCAGCAAGGGTCTGAGGTGAAGTGGGGATCCAACTTCACCTCAGGGGGTACGCAGACTAGACAAATCCTAAGAGGGTAGGTGTCTGAAGGGTATACCTCCTGGGACCGACCCACATCCTATCCACAATAAGATGTACCCTATTTAAGCTAGCAGCCACACTCCTTAACACTAGCCCACCCTGAATATCATATATGCAGATTCTATACTCAAATCAATGCTCAAATCCTGAAAGCTACAACGAAGATTTTAGCTGACGATTGATGCTCATGAATCGAAGATATGACTCTTCACAAAACATCCAAAAAGGAGGGTGAGTTGTAGAAACATCCCGAATCAACCCCCACACCATCATTGAGACGAAAGATGGATGCGAACGGCCATGAGACAACACATCGACATCTCAATGACAACGCTCCTACCAATGAAGGGATAAGGCCAAGAAAAATATGTAGTGCTGCACAGCACGCTATCCGCAACAGACGACGGCAAGAGAAATAAAGTCAAAACCTAAACGTCACACACCACTCTTTTACGCGCACCCGCGCGTATGACAAAGGGAGGAATGAGGGCGACTACCCGAGAGAGCCCCAAAATACGGCAACAAAACTCAAAACCCAAGCAAATTTCCGAACGAATACGGCCTTTGATACTGGACGCGACGTAAAGGGGAAGATATCAACGCAACCAATCTAGGGAAGCGTCAAAGAAGGGCAGGAGAAATGAATGACAGGCGAACACACTGACAACAATTTCCAGCGTGTCAGAGAACTCAAACCGTATAGAGAGGCGGCCACGGCAAGACCTAAAGAAAACCAAGAACGCAAAGCATGAATGATCAACGTCTGAGAAGCGATCTGACGAACTTGCCCTGGCTCGCTGGCAACGCACAAAACAGAAAGACTCAAACAACACAGAAAAGTCGCAAGAGATACACACAACAACACAACGACTCAAGGGCTCGACGACGATGAAGGCGTCGCCTGCAGGTAGCGATGACGGAGACGAAGTAGAACGAAGTGTGGATGACGATGACGACGAATGTCCACGGGAGAAGACGACGCCACGGGATGGAAGCCCGAAATAACAGGCCTAGACGACACTTCGGCGACACGGTGGAGCTAAAAAAAAAAAAAAAATGAGTTGGCAAAAGGCGAACCAAGGGAAACACGAGAAACTCGGTGTTTGCCTGGTCAGAGGCGAACATACCGACGAAACTTGGGGAACTCGTTGTTTAAGTGTTCAGAGGCAAACAACACCGACGAAACTTGGGGAACTCTTTTTCCAAGTGTTCAGAGGCAAAGAACACCGACGAAACTTGGGGAACTCTTTTTCCAAGTGTTCAGAGGCAAACCACACGGAGAAAACAAAAACAAAAGAAAAAAAAACAACAAACGAACAAACAAACAAACAAACAAACAAACAAACAAACAAAATCCAAGATAGACCAACTCGAACCTAAAACGGCGACCCTAGGAAGAGATATTGGGAACAGCCGACGGTAAGGAGTCAGTAATGGGAGGAGTGCGATCCCGGGCGTCGCCCAAAGAGCGCGAGCGATGTTTTTCTAAACACCACGATCCACAGACGGCGTCCAAGGCGGTGGAGTAGAGGTGCGCAGGCAGAGGGAGAACGCTGGGGCCCGGGTCATCCATAAATCGAACGATGTACGAGCCGTCCTGATGAGCACCAATACGTCCTGTCCACCATAATCCGTCGCGGGCCTTGTACCACAGCCGCGCTCCCACTGGAAGGGGCGAAATGCTGAAGCGACGGAGCCAAGTCGCGTGAAGCACAAGGTCAGCCCCAGGAGGCCAATAGCGTTCGCCACGATTCCGGGCTAGCTCCCGTTGTGCCGCGCGTAACAACGGCTCCAACATTTAATCCACTTAATTGACCATTCCCTAAAATTTGTTTTGCATCTTTAGAATACGGAATTTTTACAGCAGCTTCAAAAACTTTATTTGGTAATACTGCTTTTGGTGATTCTATTTGTACTGGTTTTTCTGCCAAATGACAATTTGCACATGCAATTCGTCCATTAGCTGCACGAGGATTTGTATACCCCTGTTGAGCATAAATTGGGTACCCTGCTTGCTTTGGCAGACCTCTCGAGACCAGTACAAGAGGATGTGTCGACGGAATTGATCGAGGTCGGACTCCCGTTCCCAAGAAGGAGTAGTCAGGCCTAGCCAATGCGTCTGGTACAGGACAGCGAGAACGCCGCTACGGCCCCGCACCAATTGGTGTCCCGAAATGTAGTCGACCTCGAGGCGCCCGACAGGCACCGACACATCATCTGCGGTGACGTGAAACGGTGGGCATTTATTGCCGAAAGAGTGCAGGACATAACGCGAAAGCTCAGCGGGTAGAGATTGGGGCAGGTCGTCCGTCTCGTATGGATTGCGACAGGGCTTGCAACGAAGGACAGATACGCGACATCGAGCTGCTGGGCCGGAAAGATCAGAAGGCAGGTCCAGGTAGAGGAGTTTACGCGCCAACGGGCTTCCATCTGGGGTGGCGTCGGCCGAAGCGGGACCCACCGCAAGAACTTTGTAAGGCCCCGTCCAGGAAAGCGCGAATTTGGCCTTGAGCACCTGTTGATCCGTGTCCTTCCGCACACCCTGTCGAATTGTAGCAGCCGTGTTATAGACCCAAGCCCACCCGCCAACAGTAAATTGCGGGAGCTTGTGGATGGCGTCCAGCAGGGACGAATTACGGCGTTCGACTCGCGAGATCTTCAGGGCGTTGTACTCACGGACCAGGTCGTAGGCCCGGCGCTGACGATCGACAGCCAAGTTGCAGTACTCGAGTTGGTCACGGGCAAAGCTTTGATGACCACCTACCGTTGGATGATCGAAGACCGAAAGCGGAAGCCGTGGAATGCGTCCGATATGGATCTCGTTCGGCGCCAATCCAGTCGACTGGTTCACGGAATTGTTGTAGGCAAATTCAACGTGTGGGAGATGTACGTCCCAATCGTTTCGCTGTTCGTTGACGACTACCGCAAACATCTGAGCCATCGTGTGATTGACGCGTTCCGTGCCGCCGTTGGTTTGCGGGTGGTAGGAGCTGGTGGTGACTTTCTTGATTTTCATCACCTCGTAGATCGCCATGGAGAGCTTCGAGCAGAAATGCAGTCCGTTGTCCGACAATAACGTAGTCGGACATCCCCACTTGGTCATGTACTGGTTGACGAAGATGTGAGCCGTCCCTTTCGCCGTAAATTCCGCCGCTGTAACCGCGAACATGTCGGCTCTCCGGCTGAAACGGTCTGTGAACAACAAAATGTAGGAGTTTCCCTTGGCAGTCACGGGCAGGGGTCCGAAGAAGTCGACGCCGACGACCGTACCAGGCCCCTGTGGCAATGGCATAGCGATGACGGGCCACCGAGCGGTTTGACGCGAAGTCTTGCGAGCTTGACACACCAAACACGCTCGAAGCCACCAGCGCACGGAAGGATCCAGACCAATCCACCAGTAGAAACGCTCAAGCAGACGTTGTGTACGATGGACACCGAGATGGAAGGACGCGGCGGTATGGCAGGCATGAAGGACCCACGGACGCATCAGCATGGGCACGTAGACACGGGGCACACCAGTATCCGGTAGACGAGTGGTCCTGCCGCCAGAGCGCCCGATCGGCGATGGCGCCGATTTATGTACGAGGAGGGTGACGTTATCATCGGTCGTGTGCAGCCTGGTTTTCGCCGCCAACGCAAGGACATCGTCTAACCGAGGGGAGCGGAGCGGGGCACTAAGGTTGAGCAAGTCAGAAGGGGGTGGGGAGGGAGAGCCACGAGACAGAAAACGCATAGCCACCACGCATTCGCTCTCCCGCTGTTGCTCCCAAGCCCAGTCCACAGTGCCGAAGCTCTGAACGCAAGCTCGCAAATGTGAGGGGTCCAAGTCAGTCGGCTCCAACCCAGAGTCAAGCGATCCCACGGAAGAGGCTGTAGAACGAGGAGCCTCAACGACTGGTGAAGTTGCAGACAGCGGTGTCACCCTAGGAGGAGGCGTCGGGAGGGGCGAAGTCCCAGGCGAAACCTGGATAGAGGGCAAAACCGAGGATGCAGCGCGC